CTCCCACATGCTTTGAAGCCCTGTGCCTGGAGGCAGGTGGGTGTCCTCCTTGCTCTCCACTGCCACTAAGCCATTATCCACTTTGCTGCCTAAAACCTCCTAGCTTTGCAGCTCATGCCATTGGTCTGGACCACCTGCCACCCTGCCTTGCTGCACTCACCTATAAATGCCCAGGTCACTTCCCCACATTTCCTGAAGATTTAGCACCTGGCTTGTCATCACTCTCTCCAATACTACTCATGTTGTACTTCTTACTGATTTCAATTCCCATATAGATGATCGTTCCTGTATCTCAGATCCTGTATCCTGACCTCCTCTCCTCCAATGATCTTGTCCTTTACCTTCCTCAGTCACCAAACTCCCAGTTATTCCTATTCGTGGTCTTAGCTGTACCTGGATGTTCTCTATAAACTCAATTTCAAACAACCCATTCTCTACAGTTACCACCTGTTTTTCCAGCTCACTCTCTCTAGTTTATCAACTCCAACAATTCTTCAACTCCTCCAGGATCTATTATACAATCCATTGGTCCTATACCTTCGTCCTGTACCTATGTCTTTCACTCCTCTCACTTCCTCACTTCCTTATCAAACTTAAATTCCATGACCAGTCACACTGTTTTATAACCTTCTCCTCCCTTGCTCCATATTTTCCTGCTGAAAACCCCAAGCCTGGTAACATCCAACTCTCCACCTACATCCATGAAGCTAAATGTGACTAGAAAACATAAAGCACCATGCTGACCGGTCTCACTTTAAACTCATGCTCACAGACTCAGGTAGGTCCTCAGTGCTGCCCAGCAGCCCTACTCCCTCTCTCTAGTCCGTTCTCTCTTCAAGGTGACTACTTCCTACCTTCTCCCGTCTCTTCGCACCTCCAAAACTTCCTCCCCCATCCTCACTCTCAGATGAGTCTTGCTTCTGATTTCACTGAAAAAAAACAGAAGCAATCAGAAGAGCATGTCCACCTCCATCTCCCACAACCCTCTCTACTGCCCTGCTTACATCTGAACCCACATCCCTTGCCTTTCTTCTTGTCGATAAACCATCCCTCTCCTAGTTAAGGCCCATTCTCCCACTTGTGCATCGTATTACATTCTTTCTTCTATTCAAGGACATCACACCAGTAACTGTCTTCTTTTTCTGCTACATCATCAACTTTACCCTCTCTAGCAAATCATTTCATCAATAAATAAAAATGCTGTAATATCTCCTACTTTAAAAAACAAATTAAGAAAAGCTTCCCTCAGCCCCACATTTCCCTCTGGCTAAGGCCCCATTTTCTTGGTTCTGCTTTACATCAATACTCCTCCAAAGCAACACCTCTGCCCTCTTTTCCCTCCTCTCATATTCTCTTAAGTTCACTGCAGTCAGGCTGCCATTGCCGCCACTCCACCAACACAGTTCTTGTCAAGTCTCCAGTGAAATTTCTAAGGCTAAATCTAAGTCTCAGTCCTCCCCTTGCTCAACCCATCAGGAGCACCTGATCAACCTCTTCCTGAAACACTTTCTTCTTTTGACTTCCGGGACCCCACTCTCTCTTATTCTCCTCCTACTTCAATGGTCCCTCTTCAATTAGTCTCTTCTCATCTCCTTGACGTGAAGGGTCGCAGTGCTCCAGGGTCCTGTTCTCAGACTTCTTTATCTATGCTTATTCCTTATGGGAGAGCCTATAGTCTCATGGATTTAAATACCATAAAAAAAATAATGATTATCAAATGTACAGCTTTAGCCCAGATCTCTCCACAGACTGCAGATCACCTCATCCAACTACCTATCCACTCATAGGTCTAATAAATACCTCAAACTTATATGTCCAGTTTCAAACTCATGATTCATCCCCCACAGCTCCCAGAAATCTGCTCCTCTCATACCCTTCCCTAGCTCAGTTAGTGAAAACTGCATACTTCCAAAATCCTGGGGTCATCGTGCCTCCTTCCTCTCATATACTTCACTCAATCCACAAGCAAATCTTGTCGACACTACCTCCACAGTGGCCCAAGCCACCGTGATCCCTCAAGATTACAGCAACAGCCTCCTACATGTAGCAGACACTTTTGCGCCCCATGCCACGATCTGTCAGCCTTCCAGACTTCAGCACACCTCCAGTGGACAGCTCCAGTCACCCTACCAGTGTCCCACTTCAAGCATACCTTGCAGTCTCAAAGTTTTTTGCTCCACAATCTCAGTTTGTTTACTACAGCAACCTCAAAGTGCAAAGGAGGAGTTATTGCCTTCAAGGGCAACCTTCAACCAACTGGGGCAGGGATCAGTGGATACATGCACCAGCTCCCCACCCTTAGAGAGGGAGAGTGGGAGGGAGGAGAGGGAGAAGGAATGAGGAAACAATTTTGCTAACTGAACTCCTGCTTACAACCCTTGCTCCCCTACAGTCTATTCTCCAAACCTAAGTCAGAGCATGTTACTCCCCTGCTTAAAACCTTCCAGTAGCTCCTCATGGCCTTCTGAATAAAGTCCAAAATGGGACGTGTGTTCAGTGCTTCCCTTAGCACATGTGGTTATCCCTGTGAAGAGCACGTTTCCCACTCTATTATGACAGTCTGTTCCCTTCTCAGTGCCAACCTACAAGCTGAAGTCCAGGGGCTGTCCTTAGGGTAGAGCACAGTGTCTGGCAAATAAAAGATTCTCAACAAATATTTATTATTGAATGAATATATGTCCTTGGGATGCATGACGTGAGACAGTGCCAAGACAAAAATCACCTCCTGGCAACAGGAGGCTGATGAACCCCAGACAACTTTAGAAATGATACTTATCAACAATTTATTCTGAATGTTCCTAATATTCTCTCTGATCCTCAATTTCAAAGAGTAGATGTGGTTTTGTAGGCTATACAAATGTGAAGCATTTTTACACCACATCACCATGGCTGAGCTCCAAAATACAGACTCCTGACCTATTATAGTGAGCTTCTGATGTCTAACGGACATATAACATTACTATAAGCTGTTGGTGTATAACAGTCTAATAAAACTGTCAACTCCATAACAGAAAGGACAATATCTATTTTATTCACCATTATAGCCACAATGTCTAGCCCAATAAAAACTATTAATAGTACATTACCATGTTAAAGGTAATATTCCTTAGCAGGAACTCTTTCATTTCATCCTCTCAAAAACCCAGTGAGTTAGGTACTATAATTACATTTTATAGACAAGGAAATAAGAAGACACTCTCTCGGTGATTTTGCTACATTGCTTCTTAGTACCTGGCACCTAAGTTTTCAATGAATGAAAAATCAGTGTATAACTCCCTCACTAAATACCTATAATGCTAAATACCTCAATGCTGTATCAGGGACCAGAATCTTCAGAAAATATAAACATACCTTTAAAAATAAAGATCGAATGTCAATATATTTCTTCTTCAGAAATGAGCAATGCATCATTTCATCTACTTCTGGCTGTTTTATTTCCCTCTTCTTTTCAAATCAATTTCCCTTACTCCAGAAGGCTTCCGTAAATTATTACTTTCAGGCGGCCACGGACAGAAGAAAAACACACTCTCACAGCATTGTTTCCACATACCGTTGAAGAGACACTCCCGAGCTTAATTGTTTCCACCGTGGTCCCTGAGTCTTCAACAGCTGTCTTCTTCTCCGGAGGCACAGATGTGCCAGGCTCTCCAGCTGCTCTTTTATTTCCAATTCCTGACATCTTGGCACAAGATGATAGCTGTCTTCCTGGAGAGAAAAAAAAGACAGAAACTTAGGTAAGTTTTGCAAAGAGAACTAAAGAGGGTCCACCTGTGATGTAAAAACTAGCAGTTTTTCTGGCCAGTCCTTTAACCTGGATCCATCAATTCCACACTCAGCAACATGATCCTTAAGTTTCTCTTGGAAAGAGAAAAATTGTGGAGTAAGAGTCACAGCTGAATTTACGGAACTACAAATTTCTAAATAGGATGCTGCTAAGAAATAAGCCAATGGGCAAAGGGTGAAGAGACCAAGAAAAATTTCAGGAGTCTCATTTCCTGAAATGTCAACATCTGAAAAGTTCAGTTTGATTAGAAAAGAAGTTAATTCTATAGTGTTGGGAGAATCAGAGAGCTGAAAGAGACCTGGGAGATGTCTACTAAATTATTAATACTGGACAAGTCATTTATCATCTCTGAGCCTCAAGTTCCTAAACCAGAAATAACAACAATATAAGCTTCCTATGCTCCTTATGAGGAATAAGTAAGTACAGAAAGAATTCTGCATAATGCCTAGCATGAAGCATGCACTCAGAAATGCTAGCTCTCCTTTATATATTTGCAGTTTCTTCTCTATTTCCAAACGCTCTCCCCACGAATTTGTGCAACCCTGTGGAAGCTAGACCTGGGTGTGAATCCCAGTTCTAACTTTTAGGGAGCCATGCTGCCTTGGAAGAGTGAGTTCTCTATATGCACAATGCAAGAGAACAGATATTGTCTGCCCTACTTGCCTCCCAAGGTTTCGGAGCTCATAGGAGGCGGAATAGATGCTAAAGCACTTTACTACTTCCATCAGAATTACTCTGCTTCCAATTCAAGCTCCAGGAGACGGGTATCGGTGGCAGCAACCTGAGTGGGACCTCGCCTGGAGAGAGAGGAGCAGGACAAGGGCCTCAATCCTACTCGAGAGGGGCCAAGGACCCCAGCCTCCGTATGGGCCAACTGCAGGCCCCAAAGAGGGAGGCCTGGGAGCGGGAGAGGGTGGTGATCCCGTTGCCTGCAGAGTCCCTCCCACCCTTGTCAGAGATCTAACCTGAGTTCTTCCAACTTGCGCCGCCCGGGAGCAGAACTCTGGGCAGTTATTCACCAAGGTCCGCGTAGCACTCCCACCTCTCACCCCTTACCCGCAAGCGAAGACCAAGCGAGGCTTCCGGGAGGCGGGGCCAGGGAGAGGAAGAAGGGAAGGGAAAGAGGAAGTCGCTTCAACCTGGCGCAGTGGACCACAAGACCCAACCGGGCGGAAGTGACGCACTTCCAGGGCGCCCCGGCACAGAAGTAAGCGCCTTCTCTTTAGCAACGCTTGGGGACCCGGCGGCCGCTCAGATCTCCAGGTGTCCCGAGGCCTCGCTGACGCCGGAGAGGGTGCCCCTGCTTTTTTCCGTTTGTTGGCCGTTGCTACTAAGACCTGCTTTTTCTACTGAGACGAAGTGCCTGTTTACTTAAAGTGCCTGTTTTTTTGTTGCCTATTATTGGTTCTACCGAGACTCAATGGGTTCTCCTTAGATTGCCGATTGGCTGATGGCCCCGTCAATCTCCAGGGGAAAGAAATAGTTTTCAGACACCTGGGGAAAGTATTACTTCTAGCCCCTTGCTGAAATGAAGGGTTCTGGAGAAAAACCAAGAGATTAGGTAGGTTTCGGAGCTTGTAGACTTTTCTTACAGGGAAATGTATAAAAGCTCTGTCTACACATTAGAGTCACTCGGGGAGTTCTGTACCCTCTAGGGTAGGGCCTGAGTATCCACACTTTTTTAAAAAGCATTTCCCCAGCCCTCCCGCACCCGCACGAGATTCTAATGTGCAAACGGGATTGACAGTTGCTTTTGTGCTTCTTTTGAAGCAGAAATTGCTTCAAAATCAATAAGTAGTTTCTGATCTCAACAGCCTATTTTAAGCTAATTAAGCATTGATTTTTTATAGTTAATAACAAACTGCTATTTCCCGCTCAATTAAACTAAATGTGTTTTAATGATAGGTAATCAATCTAATGTATTGATAAAAAGCTGTATGCCTCGCAGAGCTATGAAAAACTACCTAATAACGTCAGAACGTAAACAATGGGATACAAGTGTTCACTGTTCCTGGTACTATCACACTTTGCCTAGCCTAGAAAGAAGTAACTGGCTCCAAATGGACTTTACGTTTTGTTAGGTGAAGCAGAAGCCTGAGAACCGTGTTTGGGGACCACCACGGAAAAGCATTGTATGAAATAATGACACTCTGACTTCCCTCCTTTGGCTGCTCTGCTCTGCTCTGCTCTGCTCTCGGCAACCCTTGCATCCACAGAGCCACTGAACGGCAAGCAATGATTCTAGCCCAACGTTTGTAAACTTGAGGTTCACAGGCTGTATGTGGCCAACAGGTATGCTTTGCTTATTTTGGACGGTATCGGCTGCCTTCTATGGTTAAAAACAAAAACTGACTTAGTTGCCAACGTTTAAAATAAGATATTTTACATAAAAATCCAGATTACCAACTTCTCTTGAAAATGTTGAAGATCTAGTAACACTGGGTTTATATTCTTGCATGGCCACATTGCCTAGAATTGGGTTGTTCTTTTATTCCTGTTTGCTGTGATCACCACTATTCATTATCGATTCCCTGACACTAGTTGAATTTCATTTGAACATTATCACCTGTGTGTTGCGTTGTGCTAAGTCAATCCCTGATACTAAGTGAACGTTGTTGATTGCCTGCTCAGCATCCATTTCCCCTCTCACCTTCTTAATAGAGCACAACCAGGATTTTATTCATATGATTAGTTATATCCATTTAGACCCCTTCATTCTATATGTCTTGAAAGAAGCTGACTTCACTTCCATCTCCAAGGATTGTCTTAATTTAAATAGTAAGTCCCATTCCCCAAGCCAAAATCCTAGTCTAAACAGTGGATAGTTTAATCAGGGTGAATTGCTTGGAATACTAAGGCTGAAGCAGTTTACTTATCTTCTGAATTTCTTGTGAGGCCTGAAACTGTTGGAGCCTTCTTGCTACCCGGCTTGATAATGAAACCAACACAGAGATGAAAAAGAATCTCAGGGATGTTAAATAACAAAACTCTGAGTAAATATTAAAGATCTAATTAGCTTATTGAACGATTCATGAATTGGGCAGCATCCCACTTAGCAAGTAGAGGGGAGCTCTGAAAGGCTATAGAAAGGGAGAGGTTTTTAAAGGTAAGACAAGGAAGGCAAAAACAAAACAAAACATAAAGATTATTTCAGGCTTAGATAATCTATCTATATGGGATGAAGGGGACCTATGTGCCAGGTTACCTCATCTTCCTTTTGGAGGATGGAAAGGATTACCTCATTGGTACTGACTGGAAAATTCCACACTGACCAGTTAGGATTACATTCTTGGAGAAGGTTGTAACTGCAGTAAGGTCAGGTATTAAGTCTTCCTTTTAGCACAGGTGACTCCATTTTGGGCCTGTTATTTCTTTTTTAACAGGGAATAGGCACCAGATCAACTCAGCTAGGACACCCCTACTCCACCCACACTTCAGAGTGCTGGAGAAGATATTGAGAAGAAAGCAGACCTTTATAGAACCTTTCAATTCTCACCATGTAGATAACCAGATTCTCCAGCTACTGGTGAGATCTATCTTTTCCAAAAGCCACAGTCACCTGACACCTTCCCAATAGCCTGTCCTGATCCAAAGAGATAGCCTAACCCTAGAGATTTGGGAAAATGGAATAGATGAAATGGAGGATGGCAGAGACCTCTTTCATTGACCATGTTTCCAGTTTCTGATCAGCTACCACATGTTCACGATCGTAATCAAGAGAAAAAAAGAATAACCCTGGAAAAATAATTTTGGCCCCCACTACTAAATGGCAGAACGTTTGCTGTGCTATAAGAATACTTGCTATTTTATACCACTTGTCTTCGAAAGTTCTAATTGCTTGTATCAACAACATTATAATTTAAGTAATATGGTAATAGTCCTTTTTTTAAAGGAGCAAACAGAGCCATAAAGATTGCAAGTGATTTTTCCTAGTTGATGAATATTTCTCAAAGGACCCAAGTCTTAGACTTGCTGCCTGTCTTCGTTAAATATACAGTTCTGCACCAGGTGGCAGCAGGCAACATGCTTCCACCCCCAGTTCCTCTTGTAAAACTTTGCTTGCAGAGAGTACTGTACTTACATCAGGGTGGGGGTACAGAGCATAATTACAAAGGTGAGTTTTGGAATTTTCATTTCCAGCAGCACAGTATTTGTCACACTGGGCAAATATGAACTTAGGTTTTCATGGCCTGGAAGGGCAAGGTGGGGCAGGAGACAAAGCCCAGGAACTATCAAGGTTGGGTGCCTATTACAGGCCCCTCCCCAAAAGAGTAAACTAGATATAACTCTTCTAACATCCAAGGGACTGAAAGAAAATTGTCTGTCTCAAACCTTCATATAAAGGTTTTTCCTGATTGATCAGGAATTCCAGGAGGCACTCAGAAAGAATTTCAAAGAATGCAGAGGGGTGAAGGAAGGATACATAAAGGCCATGGGCAAAGCCAAATAGGAACAAGAGATTGTTCCTTATCGGAGTCTTCAGGAAATAGACTCTAAGATGGAGATTTGTGTGTGCAAGAGGTTTAATACCTAAGGGAAGTAAAGGAAGCAGGACTGGGGAGAAGGAGAAGTTGGACTGTGTTGTTTTCACAACAAAGGCCTCTACTGGTAGGATGGATAGCTCTAGAACTGGGAAAGCCTTTCAGAGTTGCCCTGAATTCAGGCAAGGAGGCCAGGGTTTTATACCCCTACATCAATCAGTCATTGGATGTGGATATTGGGTGGCCTGGGGAAGGGGGCAGGAGCTTGAACGAGGTGGCTTCCTTCAGCCAAGGGCAAACTCTGGAGGGGAACTCAACTCACTGCTGTCAACGTCCAACATTCCCAGCAGCTGGGGAAAATGAGTTCTTCAGTTCTAAAGAGGGGTGGGGAAGATGTTGGCAGCACACCATGGCATCCACTGGTTGAGCACAGGATGGGGTAATCAGTGCTGGAGGTCCTAGAGCTATGAGAGATGAAAGAATGTCACTTTAGTCTTGTAAGAGACACAGAGGTTGGGGGCTCCCACTTCTGCAAGCCTTTCTGCAAAAGAAAGTGTGGTGTCTTTGCTGAAAAGTGGTCTAACTCCTAGCATATAGGTACTTCCCTGATCCCAGCAGATGATGGTTTGTATGGAGATTATTATATTTTACTCTGAAATTATGGCTCTGTTTTTATTCCTGCAGAGATAAAAATGGAAGAAGAGCGCATTTCCCAACACTTCCAATAACCCAGTGCTATGGACTGAATTGTGCACCCCTCAAACTCCTAGTGTGATGGTATGTGTCCCCCAGTGTGATGGTATTTGGAGATGGGGCCTACGGCAGGAGCAGGGAATCAAAACCATCTGTAAACTTTACAAACAAAATTCCATTGAGATTTTGGTATAATGCATTACATTTATAGACTAATTTAGGGAGAAATGAACATCTTCTAGTATTTATTTTTCTCAACCAGGAACATACCATATCTCTCCATTTTCTCAAGTCTTCCTTTATGTTTCAGTAAAATTTCATGGTTTTCTTCTTATAACTCTTTCACATTACTTATTAGGTTTATATCTAGGTAGTCCATACGTTTTGCTACTATTGAGAATAAGACTTTTTAAATTATATTTTCCAATTGTTTATAAGTGCTGTATAGGACAGTGCTATATTATATATGTATATGTGTGTGTACGTATGCATATACATATATATACACACACACATATATATATACGTATATATAGCTTTTGACTTATTATGTTACAAAACTCTCTTGTTGATTCTCTTGGATTCCTTTTCCTTTTTTTGGGTGGAGAACAGCCATATAATCTGCAAATAATAATAGTTGTCTTACTTCCTTTTCAATATGTATACTCCTTTTATCCCTTTTCTTATCTCATTATGTTTTGAAGAGAATGATGATACTGAAGATTCCCTCCCTCATGCTTTTTTTCCCCACCACATGTATTTTCCCACCATGTTTGTTTTCAGTCCATGCCAATCACCTTACATACTGTCTTTCAGAAGTTGACAGCTGAATTTGCTTGTGTGATGTGACCCTCATTTATTAATCAACATGCCCCATCTGGGTCACCCATCTAAATCATATCTGTCTTTTAAGGCCCAATTCAAATCTCTATTCCTTTGATTAAGACTTTCCAGATCATGTCCCAGACCCTTGCTGCCGAAACTCACCAACTCTGACAATGAAGGTAGTGTTAAAACTTGAAATGCAATGCAAGAAGGAGGCATCCCCTAAGGAAGGCTGGCTGGTTAGCATAAAGATATCTCTCCAGGTGGTATGTAGGTGAAGTCACCTTATTTCCTATTCTGGGGCAAACACAAAACTGATTAGAGTTTTAGGACCCCCAAAGGTGATCAGGGAGTAAAGAAAACACTCATCCAAACTTCTATGTAATGTTCTAACAAAAATGCCCTTTTGTTAATTATTTCAACAAGACAAGAATTTTCATTCTCTGGCTATTAATTTCTCTTCTTGTAGCTGGTGTGTGCTTGAAGCCACATTTATAGATAATCAGAAGGCTACTTTGTGAACCTGGAATGAAAACAAGCAGGATTAGATGTATTATTTTTACAGTACATATCAAGAATGGCTGGCTAAATAATGATACAGCTTCACAATGGAAAACATATCGAAATTTATAGTGCTAATATGAAACACCATGACAATATGAATAGTATGCTCTCATTTTCATGAAAAAAAAATTAAACCATATTTATAATTAAAATTTACTAAAAGAGTAGAATTTAAATGTTCTCACCACTCCCCCAAAATTTTTTTATAATGCAATAATCATTATCCCAGCCCAGGGTAATTGTGCTTGCTTGTTCAGTTCAACCCCTCTAAGCACAAATTTGGGGCAGTCAGGTTTCCAGGCACAACTCCCTGTCCCCGCCCTTGGAGTTTATAGGAGGCTCAAGAGAATCCACATGGACAGAGGTCAGGCATCTTCCCCAATGCGCAGTCAAGAGTTATGAGATGGATCATTGAACTCCAAAGAATCTGTATCATACCATATTCACATTTTGGGTAGGATCTTAATTTCAGCAAAACGACATCAAGTGTCACATCAAATGTTGCTCAGGTGAAGCTTATTTGACTTTAGTTATATTGAATTTGTAAACATGTTTTGGTTTTATAGCTTAAGCATAAGGCATTTATACCATGATTATGTTGATATATTTTTACCAAACATTATAATAAAAATAATTTACGTAAGCACTAGGTGGTCCATGAGAAGTTTATTTTCCTTTAGACAGGAATCTGTACATCACTTAAGTTTGAAAAATACTAGTTATTATTTAATTGTATATATATGTCTTGTGTGGTTCATGATTATTACTTATTTCTAGTCTTTTTCATTCTCTATCTTTTAAATTATTCTGAGATCAATAAAGGAGAATTGATATCAATATAACTAGCATAGTATATCAATTTAAATATTCATTGATTCTAACAGACTACATGTATTAAGATGTTACTCACATTCATTTGGATATATTCAGTTACGAACTTCTGGGGCTTGAAGTCATGTGGCCAAACTTAGCTGAAAGGAGAGCTTGTAGTAGTAGTATCAATATATGGCCAGGACCCCATGGATGTTTAGAATCTTGCCTTATTGGCACTCCTTCTCCACCTCAGAGGAAGAATAAGGCTGACAACACTGATGACTAACTCCGTTACAGTTACTACAGAGTTGTGAAGTCAGCCAAGACTCCCTCCAGCATTCCAGCTCTTGTAAAGTCCTCAAAGCTGTGTTCCTACTCCCGTCACCTCCGTGACACCTCAGCCAACTCTCTTCTCTCTTCTCCTTCTCAGAACATCAGGAAACACTCTGAGCTTGCACATGCACATACTGACTATAGTGAATTTAAGCTGATATGTTACCTGTCACAAGTGACTCATTCACATTTGCAGTTTGCTTGATCTTTACTGTGGGATGATGATAATATTTCCTGTTGGAGACATTTATAAAGCAGGAGACACATGATCTTATTTGGAGCAGGTGGGAGAGAGTTCAGATGACATCCCTTCCCTATTCTTCCTCCCAAGCATAGTCTGGCAGGTAACCTTTCCCCTTCATATGGATTAAGCTGTTATGCCTTACTTATTGAACTAAAACCTCTGTGAACAAAGAAAGAACAAAGGGTGTCACTTATCATCCAGTTATACAAAGGGTTAAGTCAAAACCCACTGCAGTTGCCCAACAACAGTGCACCCTGAAGGGAATCAAGATGGAAAAACAGGATGAAGCATTTTGTGCTTTGAAATGGGCCCCTAGATAGTTAAGATACGTATCTGAGGAAGAATTTCAAGGATCCCAGGTTCTTGCATCTTCCCATACACAGAAAAGCACTAAATTCATTAACTTGAGATATCTTTTCTTTGTGATTAGCAGTAATCTTTTACAAAGATATGTGCTTGACTACATGTATTTCCTAGCCCCCCAAATTTATATATATGCTGGCTCCTCCCCTACCTCTTTGGAGCCGTTCCTCAGAGCTGCTGCCCAGCCTCTCATCCTCAGTAAGTTCCCTCAGTAAAACTGAAACAATTTTTAGATTGTCTGTTTTTCTTTCAGTGGACAGTTTGGGTGACCATGAAGGGAACTGAGCAGATTCTCTCCTTCAACTGAGCTCTATGAGGATCCAGAGCCTTGGTACCAGGAAGGGCCCCTTGTACCCATCTACCTCCTCAGGGAGTCCAGACACCTGGGTATATCTCTCCTGGGTCTCAGACCTCCCGTATTGGTTGATAATCCTGAGTTTTATCTGGTGGTTGATAAACTCCTTGCTGTAAGGAGTAGGGTTTCCTTGAACTTTAGGCTGTTCAGGAAAGAGGTACCCTCTTTGGTTTGTTGACCAGTGAGAGAATTCTCTTTGGTCTCTGCCATCTGAAAGGTATGCATATGGTGTACATTTGGCAGCCAATCAAATACACTGGGATTCCAGACAGTCTCTTTGGCCATGCCAGCTCTCAGGAAAATTTGTCATAAGGGGTCCCAGTCCACAAGGGACCCTTTGTCATTTCAATCTTCATTGCATCCACGTGTACAAAAAAGACCTTTTTCTTTCCAGACTTTTTTTGAAGGGGAGTAAACTTTCTAGATCTTGTAAGGGCTACATCCTTTGCACTCTCTTGTGGGGACACCTCTTGTGTGTTGTTGATTTGAGTTGCTATTAAGATCCTCTGGATGAGGGATGCTTTAAATTGTAATAAACTTCTAAACTGGAAAATTTTTAGAGAGCTCTCATCATAAATAACTGTTTATTGGTACCTATGTTAGGACCAAATTAAAAGGTGGATACAAAGACAAAATGGCTAACCTTAGGAACTCCCTTATTTTAAACAAACAAAATGGTTTGGGAAGACTTATTGAAATTGTGATCTCACCTTCCCCTCAATGGGTCTTACATATGTTAATAAAAATATTAAGTTAATGCTAATTAGGTTACTTAACAAGGGAATAAAAAGCTGAGAGGAAAGTCAAGAGACTCTTCCCAACAAGGTGGAAAATTTTAAGAGGACTTGTCCCAGCAGAATGGAAGTCTTTAGATGGCCATTAAGAAGTCGAATAGATAAAACACATTGATGGGATTAAAACAAAGGTTGGAATACAGCACTGCCGCCTAAAGTTGGATGAGCCAAAAGGACCCCCTTTGGTCCTTCAACATTAAAGGGCCCCAAACAATTGATGAAATAAAATTCTTATTTTCTGGCAAGACAAGAAAAAATTAAACATAGAATTTTTCTTTGCCCATTTGGGCCTCCTCCTTCCCCTTTAGTGTGTGTTGTGCATCTGCTTTAACCAGACTTCCTGAGGAGATAACATTTCTTAATTTCATCTAGGCTCACAACTCTTTAGGAGATAATTTTCCTTCTTAATCTTGTAAAGGGCTTGATGACCCATGACCCACTCCTTGCTTTGTACTTTCTTTAGATCTGGATTGTGTAAACTGTCAATAATACATCATTTAATGTACAACCCTCTGTCTCAAACACTTATGTAACTGTGCTTTGAGCTTTCTGAGAACTGTTCTCAGGTTATAATCACCAATTTGGCTTGAATAAAATTTTCCATTTATTTTCTTAGATCAACTGATTAATTTTGTCGTTGTTGTTGATACAAGTCTACTCTTTCACTTTAGAAAAATTTAAAAGGCTGGAAGATAAAATTACACTGAGAAACCTGACCAGCAATTGCTTGGGGCAACAGTTAGGCCAATTAATCAAGTTAAAGATTGACAAATAAGCCTGGGTCCCTTGGCTCCACCCCTCACCAGAGACCCCAGAGCCTTTACACGCAGGCCCAGCGGCCATGGCTCACGGGCACAGCCGCTCCGCGGCATTTGGGATCTTCCCGGACCAGGGCACGACCCCGTGTCCCCTGCATCGGCAGGCAGACTCTCAACCACTGCGCCACCAGGGAAGCCCCCCAGAGCCTTTTTATACAGGAATGGATAAAATTGCCAGGGGATGAAAAAGTTTCCGGGGCTCCTTGTGAGACCAAGACTTTGTTAATGGGGTCCTAATGGATGCTAAGGTTAAGGGGGTAAGAGTTAATAGAATTGAGATGAAGTTTATAAGAAAGTTGGTTTATTTGAATGGTTTTATATAAGACGGGTGCATCTCTTTTGGTTGATTATATTATGGAGATAGACATTATGTCTCAACTGTTGAATGCTTTCCCCACCTGCTATGATAAAACAGGGCATATAAATCTGCCCCCCAGGCAATGTTAATTTAACATAATAAAGGGGAACCAGTAGGGTTACTGGAGCCCACACAGTATGAGGTAAAAACTGGGGCTAATATTCAGGGGCTAATAAAAACAGTAATGGAGATTCTTTTGCCTCTTGGGTTAATTGGTCTGGGTTTGACTTGTGTCCCTTGGAAGAGGGCCTTTGTTGAATGCCTTGTGCAAACTTTTGAAAGCATGATACATTGAACCTTAGAGTTCCAGAACATGGAACTCTTCTGATTTCCAGTTTAGTGGGAAATCTTCTCATGGATATAAGGAAGCAAAAATTTTTTAAATATAGTTGTGTAATAGGGAAGAACCTTTGTAATCTATTACAAGTTAATCACTAAAGGGATGTTGCCTATAAGTTAAATTATACATAATGGAACATCTCTGGGAACACTGCTTCCCAGGTAATGAGCATTAAGCTAAAATACCTTTGTTTAGTTCACAGGAAACATCCTGACCAGGCCCACCTGTGAATGACTGCAGGAAGGAAGAAATTAACACATCCCCTCTGGAAGCTGACCAGAAGCAGGAAATGTTTGACTTTACTCCCTCCCCTTTTAGTGTAAAACAAGCCTGAATTCTAATTATGGCAAGATGGTTCTTTGGGACATGAGTCTACCATCTTCTTAGTCTACCAGTTTTCCAAATAATGTTGCTATTCTTTGCCCAAACATCTCGTCTCTCAACTGACTGGTCTGTCATGTGGTGAGCAGTATGAGCTTGGACTCGGTAAGATTTGGGCAAGTCAATCTTTTGATATCGTTTAGGCAGCACCCCAGTTCTTTGGGAAATTGAAAGCAGCTGTCTTTGTCTTGCAAGTATTTGCAAGATCAGAAATATAAACACAGCCCAAAATGGCCTGAGACTGAGCCTAGTTAACTCAATCAGGTAGAACCTGAAATCTAAAGGGAGAAAAAAAAGAGGGAAAGAAGCCTTTTTAAAAGTAAAAACTGCTGGCACCCAGACATATTGTAATTATTCCATTTATATGAAATATCCAGAATAGGCATATCCATAGAAAGCTCATTAGCGGTTGCCAGGGACTGAGTGGGAAATAGAAAGCAATTGCTAATGGATACAGAGTTTCTTCTTGCGGTGATAGAACTAGTGGTGATGATTGTACACCTCTGTGAAAAAACCACTGAAAAGGGTGAATTTTATGGCATGTGAGTTATATCTCAATAAAAATTACAGCATTCATGAGAAAAAAAGATGTTGTGTATATATATATATATATATATATTTACAATGGAATACTACTCAGCTATAAAAAGATGAGATCTTGCCATTTGCTATGACATGGATAGACCTTGAGGATATTAGGCTAAGTGAAATAAATCAGACAGAGAACAACAAATACCGTATGATTTCACTCATATGTGGAATATTTAAAAAGTAATATAAAACCAAACCAAACAAAAACAAACTCATAGATAACGAGGCCAAAGTACTGGTCACCAGAGGGAGAGTGAAATGGATAAAGGGGACCAACTGTATGGTGATGGGTGGAAAGAAAACTTTTGGTGGTAGGTGCACTGTAAGTGTATACAAAAGTTGAAACATAATGTTGTACACATAAAACTTCTATTATGTTATAAACCAATGTTACTTCAATTTAAAAAAATCTTTCTGAGGTCTTTAAAAAAATAAATTATGTTTTATGATATGTCTATTTAAATAGTTTCTCCAAATCTTTTTGGTAATTTAAAACTTTAGAGTTTTTCTAAAGTAAGCTAAATGATGGAAGTTTATTGAATATCCAGATCATTTCCAAATAAGATAAAATAATGAAACATTAATTGTTGAGCATGTCTAAGTTTAACTACTTTTATCTTCTGATAAGATTAAGAAGCCAAAGATGTTTGGGTTTATCCCATACATCTTGTACCACATTAAAGAGAGAAATTATGCTATGAGAAAATCTGTGTTTCTAGAGGTTGTGGAGTATGTTCATAAGTTTTCCAATCAGGAAATGCTAGTATGACAGTTCACAATTGCTTGCTTCTTGGTTTTCTCTAGAGATTAGGGGTTTTAAGAATACAATTAATACATATAATTGGGACTACTAAAATTAATAAGGAAAACATCTTCATATGCAACAGAAAAAAAGAGTTTAAGGATCGTAAATGCATTTCGTTAAGGGAAAAGAAAGTAATTTTGTCCTAAGAGAAGTTAAAAAATAGAGAAAAGGGGAAAGCATGGGACAAAATCTGAAGGTAAAAAAGGAAGTTACAGGTTTGTGGAACAGAATCCCTGAGAAAAGAGTTTTGTATGTGATCAGGACTGGCTAACACTGGAATAAATTTAATTGAGTGAATAAGTTTTAATATTAAAAGTAAGCTGGTACAAAAGTAGAGTCTGGTTTTCTCTCTGTTAATAGGACAAAGTTTTCTTGGAGTATTGATCTGCTTTTGATAATAGATTGTAAAGTTTCTTTACCTTTTAAGTTCCCTTTCATAACTTTCTGTAGTTTACCTTTGAAATCTTTTAGTGTCACTTTGGTTAAATAATTAACTGAGTATTGTTTCACAGTGACTGTGATTCTGTTTGACCAAGTGTTTCCAAGTGTTTTAAAACCTTTTGATATCTTTGACAAACCCCCCAAATCAATTCTGAATGAAGTCCTTTTGACCTCTAGCTAACTTTGGGGTGTTTCAGAGGTTCCCTGAAACATCTCAAAGAGAGGTATTAAACTAATGAGGCTTATTTTGGTATGTTGAATTATGTCAGAAGCATTGTCAAATGAGTGATGATAAATTTTCTTAGATTATATTGTATGGGCAAATATTATTAATATAAATGTTCTAGAAGTTATATGAAATTCCTAAAAATCAGGTATGTGTTGGTATGTTGTCAGTCATAATTCTGGTTATTATCTTAAAATTTTGTATGTCACAGAAATATCAAAATTTCCTTTTCAATTGCGTTGTGGTCATGTCTTTAACCATGCCATTCAAAGTCTTTTGTCATTTACAGACAGTTATTGTTTTACTCTGATGTCTTTACAAAGATGAAACTCTTCAAGAAGATTAATAAAAAGGACTTTTTGACAAGAGCAGGTTTCTGATAACTTTTAGATAATACCACTGAACTGGGTAAGAAATTCCAGAACACTAATGGAAAAACTTTATGACTTCATAAACTGTTAACGGAAATCATGATCAACAAGAATTAGTTACAAAGGGCTGAATGATCATTTTTATGACTTTCTGTCTGAAATATTACTGTCTTTTAATCTTCCTTTTCCAGATATAAGGAAAATTTCCCACTTAAGCTAACTATAACTTGGAGCAGTTTGGTAAATTACACCTTTGTAAGCAGAATTGAAACATTTGTCTTTTTCTCTGTAACATCTCTCCAGAATTTGAAATTATTAGTGAGTATTCTTATTTTTATGGCAGTATAGTTATTTGCATAAGTTCAATAAAAATGTGTTCTCCTTATAACAGGACACAAATGGGAACATTGGTTATATTACCAAGGCTTTGACTGGAATGTCATGTTTGAGAATTACATAGAATCAGATATAACCAGACAGCTTTAAAGAACTAAGATGGACTTTATGGAGCCATTTCCTTAGAAAAAAACAGTCTGATACCTTGCTTACAGAGTTCCCAGCAACCTTACCAGGTGACTAAGAAAGGTCACTTCCTGGCAGGTGTAAGAACCTAAAGATATTTTGGGGGCCTTGAGAAGAAAGGAATTCACCCAACTCTATAAGTATTACAGTCAAATCTCATGGTGAGTCCTTGGAATGACGTTCCTGGCTTCAGGAGTCTTTCAACAGTCAATCTGAGATTCCTTATAAAAAGTTCTATCGGAGTAAATTTACAGAAGCCTACATGATCAATTGCCATTCTTGTTACACTTACGTAAATAATCAGGTCAAACTTACTGAAACCAAACTTATTTTGCAAATAAATTAGTCTTAATTTGTCTATGTTTGGTGGAAATTAAAGTAATTTTAGAGAAAAAAATATGTTTTAGTGGATATTAAGTTCTAGTGCTGTAATTGTATTTCAGGTTAGGTAATTACAGCCTAAACTCACTTCCTAGATGGCTCCTTATTGCTGTATTGCATTATAGCAAAGTTTAATTGAATTATTAAAAGGACATTATAAGTCTGTTTCTGAAGTTTATCAAAGAGAGAAATATCTTTGGATGAAGATCAGATACCCCATAACCAACCTACAACCAGGAGATTATATATACTGGAAAAGACATCATTTAAAGGACTCTCTCCAGCATAGATTGGAAGGCCCTTATCATGTATTCTTTTTTTTTTTTTTTTGAGGTATGCGGGCCTCTCACTGTTGTGGCCTCTCCTGTTGCGGAGCACAGGCTCCGGACGCAGAGGCCCAGTGGCCATGGCTCACGGGCCTAGCTGCTCCGCAGCATGTGGGATCTTCCCGGACCGGGGCACGAACCCGTGTCCCACTACATCGGCAGGCAGACTCTCAACCACTGCGCAACCAGGAAAGCCCTCCCCTTCCCTTTTCATCTGTGAATGAGAAGGAAATGCCTTGGGCATCCTAGTCCATTAATAGGAGGACCATAGAAGACCAATTGGGTACTATAGCCAACTAGACCCTGTTGCTAGAGAACTCCCTCTTTACGAGCTTTCTCTGCTACTGCCCTCCAACTCAAAGCAACCAAAGAAATTGCCATGGGTTCTCCTTTAAGAATCTACATGCCACATTCAGTAGAAGCACTTTTTAAAATATTGAAGTATAGTTGATTTACAATATTGTGTTAGTTAAAGGTGTACACCAAAGTGATTCAGTTATATATATATATTTTTTTCAGATTATTTTCCATTGTAGGTTATTACAAGATACTGAATAAAGTTCCCTGTGCTACACATTAAATCCTTGCCACTTATCAATTTTATGTACAGTAGTCAGTAGAAACACTTTTAAACTTTCACACACTCAACATCTTTCTGCCAGTAGATGCACATCTTAGGAGATTTTGTTACTGACCCCTTTGAGTCATATCCCAACAGGTGTTCTCCGGCCGGCAATTGAACAAGACCAAGGAAAGCTTGAATCTGATCAAAGGATGGAGGGTGTGAGCTTGTGCTCTAGAGCACACACTCTCTCCCATCTCCACAAGCCATGGACAGAGCTGCTTTACTGGGTTCCCAACAGCAGGGCAGAAGTGGAGTCCTCACCTGTCTGGTGAAGCTGCTCTGCTCACGCTCCACTTCACAGCGCGAGGAGCATCTCTGCACACGACCCGCTGCCGCCATCTTGAATTGAGTGTCGTGCACAGCTGCTGCACGTGGTCCTGAGCTGAAGTGTTGGGCAGCCATTTCTCACTCGGAACTGTGGTCTGAAGTGCTGGGTGTGAGGCCTCTACACGCAGCACCTTATGAGCAAGGGAAACTAGACTAAGCCCAAAGGAAAAGAAAAAAAAGGTTAGATTTTATTTAATTACCCAGATTCTATTTTTACTTCCTGGGAATTGTTAATGGGCTTTGCTGATGACAAATCCTGCCTCCATCGCTAGTTCCGCCCCTCATTCTTGAGGGGCGCTGAGAGGCGCAGGTCTGTCTTCTGTAACTGCTTCCTGTTGAATTGGCATGTAGTTATAACCCCGGGGAGAGGAGCAGAACTTTTCCCCAACCACCTTTAGATGTGTTTGATTGTCGCCAGGGCTCAGCCCTAAGCATTAGTATCCCTGAGCAACCCCCTTTTGTCTAACCTTTTAGAGACAACACCAGACAATTTAAGATATGTGGCCCAAATATTAGCAAGAGAATAATTGTCACATGTCATATTTTCCTAAGCATGAAGGTATCTAGGTCTTTTGCCTGTAGGCAAAAGTGTGCCCTAATGTGCAGGCTCACTGCCGTGGCCTGAATCTCTCTGGTTACACTTTTGTAGTTTTTTGAAAGAGAAGCTTCAGGTCAGAGAGGTTCACTCTCAAATAGTCAAGGGGGTCTGTTGCCCCAGGTTGTCTCTCTGGAGGTTGGGGCTCAGGGACCCTCTACACTTGAGTGTAATGTCCCCACAGAGTGATTCTCTGCTACTTCAGGACAGAGTGGGTGTTTAGGATCACCAGGTGGGGTCCATTCCCCTTAGGAGTGAACTGACCTTGCAAGCTACCGGTTTCTCAGGTTTTTAGGTGCACCCAGTCTCCTGGCTTCAGCGGGTAGAGGGCCAATTCGGTGGGTGTGGGCAGCATTTGGTTACCATGTTCCATGACAGCTTTCATGGTT